AACTACTCTCCTTCGAGCTACACCAAAGAAGAAGTCCAGCCCGTCAAACCCACCCCTGTTACCGCTCAGCCTGCCTTCATCCGTCGCCAACAATCCCGTTCAATCACCCGAGATCGTTAAGCCTCAGCCTTCCGCCCAATCCCAATCTCAATCTCAACTCCAAACTCAACAGCATCAGACCTCGACTCCGACCACGACGCAAGCTACTTCACAAGCTGCCGAGCTACCACCCAACAACAACAACAACAAATGTATCCTATGTACCCGGGCAATGTAAATTACTACGGATCATACCCCACACCGCCCGGTCCATACCCCGGACACCCAGGTCCTGCTAATCAACACGGACAGTACCCCGGTAGTCAGTACTATGCTGGAGGCGTTTACGGAGGCGCTGGTGCTGGAGGAGGATATGGTGGTGCAGGGTTCAATGCGGGAGGAAACGCGCCGTATAGTGCCGGAGGAACTGCACCACCGTACTCTACGGGTGTGAGTGGACAGGCTCCTTACTCGGCCGGAGGCGTCGCCGGTGGCCAGTACGGAAGCGCTGGAGCAGCTGGTGCCGGATATTCAACTGCCGGAGGAAGTGGTGGGTATAGTGGTGCTGGAGGTGCCGGAGGAGGGTATTCGGGAGCTGGAGGACATGGACAGTATTCGAGTGGGTATGGGCATCAGCATCATCAACACCAGCAACACCAGATGCATCTCATGGGTATGGGAGGTCAAGGACAGGTTGCAGGAAGTGGACCACCGCCTTTGCCGATGGGCATGGGTGGCCAGTTGGGTATGGGTGGACAGGCTCAGAGTCCTATGGGAGGAATGGGTGCTCATTTGAGCCATCTCGGTATGGCGGGTGGTGGAATGTACCGCAACATGTACGGTGCTCAGGGAGGCCAGCAACAAACTCAGGCCGGCGGCCAGCAGCAGCAGGGACAGGGCCAACAGGGTGCACAAGGTGCACAGGGCCAAGTTCAGCAACAGCCTCAGACACCAGGAACCCCTCAACAGGCTCATGCCAGCGCAGCCGGAGGACGACACCAACAACACCATCAGCAACACCAACATCACGTCGGCCAAGGTTACCAAGGCTTGTATGGTCAGATGGGACTTGGTGGACAGATGGGAGGTTTGGGTCTAGGTGGACCTATGGGTATGGGAGGCATGTACGAAGATCCCTACGGCGACTACAAATACCAGAATACGCCCAACAGTGGAGCTGCTGGTGGAAATGGTGTTGGCGGTGCTGGTTCGACGGGTACTTCTGGCAACTCAACCGGTGGCACATCCAATACCTCCGGTGCTGCAAGTTCTGCAGGCCTCCCCGCTTACCTTGGACTTAGCCAAGGTCAGGGAACACAGAGCGCGGCTGGCGGCCTAGGCTTGGGTGGAGGTGCACTTGGTGGCCAAGTCGGTGCTGGTGTCGGTGCTGGCCAGAGAGGATCTCCGGAGACTGCCTACAAGCCATACGGTTCCAACAAGGGTGATCTTCAGACCCAGGGTGGACAGGTTCAGAGAGGTGCAGCTGCCGGAGGTCAGAGCGGTGTCGGTAGTGGACAGAGTGGTGGCCAGTACTACGGGAGATTCAACCAGCAGCATCAGCAAGGAAGTTTGGGCGGACAGGGCGGTGCCACTGGGACCGGCCAAGGAGGCAACGCGTACGGGGACCAGACTCAGCAGTATTACTATCAACGGGGCCAGTACTGGCAATAAAATAGCGGCTTGATCTCTTCTTTCTTTCCCGAACTTTCGCTCCATTTTCTCTCTCGTCTCTCAACTCATTCATCTGCTCTCCTGTCTCTCGCTTTTCCTCTGTCTCTGTGTCTTCTCGTGCAATATTTACATTAGTGACAAGTATACCGCATTCAATCCTGCTCTGATATTCACGACCAATACTTATCTACATTGTACTTTTGCTGTCTGTTTTACCAATGCACCATTGAAACAGAACGAAGCGGTTGTAACTCTGACTAACCCACATGGGAACTCGCGCGTGAACGTTGAACGTTGAACAGTCGTGAACCGTGCATAAGTGGGTATCAAACATAATACTAGTACAGTAAGGATATACGTCGGATGTCGAAGTCTTTGGTCGTTCTCGCTCCATTCATGCACCGATCAAACCCACCGTCGACGATCTTGGGATGAACTGGCACTGGAATGGAAAGGGATGGCTAGAACGAGACGTTAAAATCCAAGTCAAGACCATTGCGCGAAAAAAACCAGACCTGGTCAGTCCCTCGCTGTACTCAATCACCGGCTCAATCTCTTTACCATCGCTATCCACCTCTTTCGCCATTCTGAAGGTATGGAGAAGATGTGCCATAACAAGCCAGATCGTGTTCACCGCGAGGTGTCGCCCGGGGCATATTCTTCGGCCAAAACCGAATGCGATAGGTTCCGGGTCAGGAGGGAGCTCTTTTCCGTCCTTCTTGATGAAGCGGTCTGGGTTGAATGTCAGGGTATCGGGGCCGTACAGGTCCTCGTCGTGCAAAATTGCCCTTGCTCCGGTCAGTACGTGGTGAAATCGATATGACGGGGAGAACCTACCACACGTTCGCGACGATTGTTGCACCTGTCAGACCCGTCAGAAAGCGTTCAAGTAAGGATGATAAAAGGTCCTCACCTCCAGGAATCAGATACCCGTCGTACACATCATCATTCACTACACAATGAGGAACAGCTACGACGAGGCGTCCGTGAGGACTGTTAAGAACCGCATTACTGGCTTCTGGCAGAGAGGGACTCACACATTGGTGTTACTGGGTTCCACCGTAATGTCTCCGAAAGGATAGCATTGAGGAAAGGCAGATTTTCACGGTCTTCGAAATCGGGGAGACGGGAAGGACCAACCACTTGGTCGAGTTCTTTTTGGGCCCGTGCCTGAACTTCAGGGAAGACTACCATGGCTGCGACGAAAGAGAGTACAGCAGAAACAGTCTACCCGGAACCAATACCAATCAGTGAACAATGTTTGTTTTGGACAATAGGCCAGGCAGAGCAGCGTACCGTGTCAGCTCCGGCTAGAATTGGTATTGAAAACATGTATTAGATTTCCAGGAAACGAACTTTCACATGTCACATCTCCGTACCTGTGAGAGAGACAGCGGCGCAATTCTTGATCACTTCCTCCATTTCGGAGTGCTGGGGATCGCCGGGCGTGATTTTGAACTTCTCGAGGTTACGGGTTGAGAAGCAAGGCTCTGCAGTTCCATCTTCCTGACGTCCGGTGTCAAGCCTGGTTCCTTATCGCATGGACTGAAAGAGAGGAAACTTACAATTGCCTTCTTCATCCATCTCCACGGCCGGTCCTTGAGTTCATCAGTAAACCAAGCCCACTCGTTCGCTCTTCTTCTGAATCCGGCTCCGGGGAGCCAAGCTTGGAAGATCGTGATTCGTCAGGATGGGGGGTTCGAGACGACTAAGATAGCACTCACTTGGGATGCGCTTCAGTATTGGCAGGTAGTCAACCATGAACGAGCCATGATTTCCTGATTCCTTTAGTCCAGCCCAAGCGTCGTCCGCCAACTTTATGAAAGGGTCGTTATCACTCTGAAGTTTGTATCCATAGACGATATCAAGGATGATGGCCCCCGAATGACTATAACGAGCAATGAGCTCCAGAAGGCCCGTTACTTCATATGAAAACTAGAATTACTCACTGTCTGATATGATGGAAAAAGTTCTTCGGTGAAGACACCAGTTTGCTCATCAGAGAAGCTGTCGCGTCTCGCTGAATATCGTAGTATTCTGGAAGCACTCGGGGCTGGAAGAATTGGTGGAAGGTCCTCCGATGCAGTCTTGGATAGAAAGACAAGCATGATGACCGGCCGAAACAAATTAAAGGGCGTCGCGCACGTACCTCCACTTATCAGAGTATCGCATGACTTCGGAATTGCACCCGTAGCATGATTTCTTTTGAGAGATCGGACGAAAATGCAGCACAACAGAACTCACAACCCATGTTCCAGTCCCATCTGTCAAACAACCAAACGGTGTCAGGCGGGCCGCCCAAGATCGCAGAGGAAGAAACACGTACCTCATGAGGTCAATCGTCATCGGCATATCTGTTGTGGTAAGAAGGTCATCAGTATACTGTGACCCGATCCTAGGGGGTACTATTGGAGTCCGTTACCTGGTCTGTCCGAGTAGTTGTGCGACCTCTTTTCGAAAAGCTCCGTGACAGCTTTGAAAGAATTCAGAATGATCGTGCGAGTGCCAAAGACTTTCAGATGGAAGACATCGCCATAGATTCGTGACCAGTCAGCGTAGGTAAACCAAACAGGCTCGTCCCGCTTCGCGTTGGCTTCACGGAGGTTCCCCACTATTGGCAGACCCTTGGGTCCCGGAGGTAAGGGGGCAGAGCTTTGATCCTGGTTGGAGAAGAGACGAATGGCAACCAGCACGGCGGCGGAAAGCGCCAGGAACGACGGGGATATGGAAGGCATGGTTCCAGCTGCCTGGGGAATTGGAGGAGGCTTTATCCCAAGAGCCTGCCTATATAGCTCGAGTTACGGGCGTTGAAGACATATAGTCTGGTTTGATATCCGTTTCACATTGTGGTTGGTGTTTGAAGCTTCGGGCGAGACGCAAGCGATCTTCACAAACTGCGTCTGGCCCTTGCGGTGGGTGTAACCGTGTAATCCAGGTTTCCGGTATGTAAAGACTACGTTCTTCCGTCGTACGAGGGGTTAGATCGAGGCTTCCTATGGGATCAATATGGTCGGGAGATAATACAAAGAATGGAAACGTTCTCCGCAGACAAGAGCGGACGTGGGAGTCAAAAGTCAAGTTGACTTGCATGCAAGCGCCCGGGCCCAGTATCAATAAGTGTGTGCCTGTATCTTCAGCCCGGTGCCGGCTTCAGCATCCGAAATATCATGGTCAAATGCACTGCTTGCATTGCATCCGATTAGACTCATTAGTCTCTCGCTAGAAGCCTGAGAGTAGGGATTTTGCCTGGCTAGAACGGTTGTGTGGACACGAACATGGTAACTAGGCAAGCCGGTTTAGCTTAGTGGTAGAGCGTTGCACTTGTACAAATCACAGATGATAGTGCCATGCAAAGGTCGGTTGTTCAATCCAGCCAACCGGCAATGAATTTTATAATTCGGACTTTTTGCCTCAAGTTCAACACCTCAACAGGAGAAAGCTGTGGCCAAGGTCCGTCGAGGGTATATGCATGATGCATAGAAATACTCAAGTTGTTTCTGCACAATCACCCTTCTTGGGTTCATGCATTTATCTGATGGATCCCACTTCACGGGGGTATAGCTCAGCTGGGAGAGCAGCAGACTGAAGTGAAGACGATTTCTGAAGGTCCCGCGTTCGATCCGCGGTACCCCCATTGCTCTTCTTTTTTGGTTCCTCCTGGGAAGAAGTGAAGAGTTGACCTTCGTTCGGGACAGTGCATGGGAAGGGCCTCGATGGAAATTCGTTCTCTCAGGCGTATTTTATATTGGGCGGAGAGGCCACTATATCAGACGGAGAGGCCACCGATGAAAGGAAATTTGATTACAAGTCTCACAAAGCCTTTCTACTTGCTCGGCGTTTCTTGAGGAAGCGCGACGAGCTTAACCCCGCTGACCCGTCCATCCCCAAGTCGCTCGATTGCCTCTTGCAGCCCTTCCAAGCCATTAGCGAGTTCCTCAATTCTGTTAGGCTACAAGTACGAGTCATTCAATGGCAGGCGGTGGAAAGAAAGACGCAGATTATGGTCTCACCACAATAGTACCGTTCTCTAGCCATCGCTCCACTTTACCAAACAGATTTCTTCCAAACGCCAAGTTGAGAGCAACCGTTCCGTCCGCAAACAATACCTTTTTTCCGGGTGTTTGTTGTTGTACGGAAGGAGGAGTGATGACGACCAGAGTCCCCTCGTCAACTACACAGGCGTAACCAGCGGCTTGAGTTTCGGGTGCGCTAACGGAGTCGAAGACTATCGTGAGAGGTGTTTGTGTGATTTTCTTCACTTCAGTGGGAAGGTCTTTGAGTTCGATAGTGGTACGATCGATTACATGGGTTGCCCCGAGAGACTTGAGGTGGGAGGCGTGTTTGGCGGAAGCGTAGGTGATGATGGGGGAGAAGCCGGACCATCGAAGAAGTTGGATTACTGAGATTGAGATGATTGTAAGTGGAACCAGTCGACTTGGATATACTATGCACCTGTTCAACTTACTGTATTGACCGACGGACGTACTTCCTCCAACGACCAAGAAGGGTTGGTTCGGGTATTTGATAGACTCGTCGAGAGTGGGGTTGAGTCCCGCGCCTTTGGGGAACCCGGCAAAGAGTCCGTTGGCGGCAGCGGATAGACCGACAGGAATGGAGGCTGCTTGCGTGTAGGTAACCGACTTTGGAATCTAGAATACCAAGGTCAGCATTTGTGAAGGCGCGGGAATCGCGGTAGAGGCACGGGAGCTTCATACTCTCGAAACGACATCAGCCATAGCTTTCGCATATTGTTGATACCCAGCATAGTCATCCCTGGGCCCGAAAGTCCCTTGGAAAAGGCTGTCTCCGGAGATTAGGAAATGTAAGACGTGATGATAGAGGGATCTCGAGCAAACAGACCCACATCCGATCACCAACCACAAAACCAGCAGAGTTGTTGCCACCCTCTCCAATGGCCATGACCTCACCGGCGACGTCGAAACCGATGATCAGAGGGTACTGGTCGTCTTTGAGGAGAAGCCCAAACTTTTGCATTTTCCAATCGATCGGGTTGGCCGCCGCTGCGTGCACCTTGACGAGTAACTCGACAGGCGAGCCTGGTTTACTCGCGGTGAGAGCGGGAATATCACGGTCGCGGAGAACGAAGGCTCCGTTTTTCTTCTCGAGATAGAGCGCTTTCTGGGAGGACATCTTTGTCTTTGCGTTTGGTTGTCCGGCGTACAAAGCTGGGGAAATGTAGGTCTGGAGAGTAGGCTGATTGTCGTGTCCTTTTTATTTGAAAGCCCAGAGTCCTGCTAGATATGTGGAACCACCGAGATGATGCAAAGAGAGGCGATTTCACGTGAGCTGGTTGGTAAAGGTCGAAGTCGCTATTCTAATGATGGCCTCGAACACGGCTAAATCCTACAAATCAAACGACTCTGGGGCAGGTCGGATGGCTTCCGAGGTGCTGGAGCATGTCGCGTTACGCGACATACTCCAAGGATCGAGATGCCGAGCCAACGCAGCTTAACGGCTAGATGATCTAGTATAGAGATATGATTGTGAGCACAGTACTCGGAGTATACGGTGGGGAGTTTGGCCAGGGACTGAGAACTCGTATCAGTCAGCATCCAGGTTGGTCGTTACAAAGGAGCTGTATTAGCTCTGTACATGCCACACCATCAATTGGAACTGATACATCTGACTTACAAACAATTGTCCATACTGATACCGTTGCTATCCTACCTCAACCACCCTCCCTGAATGGCCCCCGGCTCAAACAGGCATTCCCAACCTCCGACAACAACACCCTGGTATCGCCACCAGTGTTTGCTCTATTTGCACAAAGCAACTACTTGTTCGCCGGCCTGTGCCGTCTTTGCGAGTTGTGCCATGGCACCTTGCACACCGGAGGTAATGGCGGGATCCGTGCTAACAAAACCAATAAGGCTCATGAGTTCCATATCAGCCGGTCGCTAAACCGTACTCACGATTGTATAGACTGGAGAGCGGACTGAGCGGATTCCAGGCCATCACCGACTTGAGTACGTGCGTCTGCTGGGGCAGTTTGTCCGGACACAATAGACTGTGCGATGGTTTGGATGCCTCCTTGAGCATCAGATAAGCCTTCTTGGGCTTGTGCTATCGCGGAGGAGGTTGCTTGGTCGCTGGGGGAAGAGGGGATGTGTTAATATACAACATGGGGGAGCTCTACCGCGCACTACTGACTTTGCACCAGCGGAGGCGAGTTGATTGACTGCCTGCGTAGTCGCCGAGAGTGCTGAAACTGTCTGCAGACGCGCAACGTTACATTGGATGCTGCCGATTTGACGTTTATCTCTCCCGAAAGCCTTTGCAATGCCAGCAGGCTGCGACGTGAATAGATGAGATTCTCGTCAATGCTCTGTTGAGTGGAAGGACTTACGGTGGCTGCTCCGCCGGCCCCTCCTCCACCGCACAGAGAAACTACTTGTTCACCGGCTTGTGCCGTCTTTGCGAGTTGGGCCATAGCGTTTTGCACACCGGAGGTGACGGCAGGATCCGTGCTAACAAAGCCAGTAAGACCATGAGCTCCAAATTAGCCAGTCGCTGAACCGAACTCACGACTGTATCGACTGAAGAGCTGACTGAGCGGATTCCAGGCCATCACCGACTTGAGTACGTGCGTCTGCTGGAGCATCTTGTCCGCTCGTGAGAGCCTGCGCGATGGTGTTGATGCCTTCTTGCGCATCTGACAGGCCTTCTTGGGCTTGCGCTACCGCGGAGGAGGTTATTTCATCGCTGGGGGGAAGGGGATAAGTGTTAGTACTCTACAACATGCGGAGGCTCCACTACACACTACTTACTTCGCACTGTCGGAAGTGAGTTGGTCGACTGCCTTCGTGGTCGCCGTGAGTCCTGAAACTACCTGCAGACGTGCGGCGTTGCATTCGGCGCTACCAGTTTGACGTTTTCCTTTCTCCATAGCCTTGGCCGGGTCGGAGGCTGCTCCGCCAGCCGGAGGGGCAGAGGCAGCTGGAGGGGCAGGGGGAGGTGGAGGAGCAGAGGCAGTCGGGGGAGGTGGAGGAGCAGAGTCAGTCGGGGGAGGCGGAGGAGCAGAGTCAGTTGGGGGAGGTGGAGGAGCAGAGTCGGTCGGGGGAGGCGGAGGAGCAGAGCCAGCCGGAGGAGGTGGAGGAGGAGCAGAGCCAGCCGGAGGTGGAGGAGGAGCAGAGCCAGCCGGAGGAGGTGGAGGAGCTGAGCCAGCCGGGGGAGGCGGAGGGGCAGAGCCAGCCGGAGGAGGTGGAGGAGCTGAGCCAGCCGGGGGAGGCGGAGGGGCAGAGCCAGCCGGGGGAGGAGGAGGGGCAGAGCCAGCCGGAGGGGCAGCCGGAGGGGCTACTCCGCCAGCCGCGCCGCCAGGGCCTTGAGGGCCAAGGCTAGCGGCCCCTCCTCCACCGCACAAAGAAACCACTTGTTCGCCGGCTTTTGCCGTCTTTGCGAGTTGTGCCATGGCATCTTGCACACCGGAGGTGACGGCAGGATCCGTGCTAACAAAACCAGTAAGATTCAGGAGTTCCATATCAACCAGTCGCTGAACCGTACTCACGATTTTATAGCCTGAAGAGCGGACTGAGCGGATTCCAGGCCATCACCGACTTGAGTACGTGCGTCTGCTGGAGCATCTTGTCCGCTCGTGAGAGCCTGTGCGATGGTGTTGATGCCTTCTTGCGCATCTGACAGGCCTTCTTGGGCTTGTGCTACAGCGGAGGAGGTTATGTCGTCGCTGTGGGGAGGGAGGATAAGTGCTAGTGCTCTACAACATGCGAAGGCTCTACTGCGCACTACTTACTTCGCACTGCTGGAAGCGAGTTGGTCGACTGCCTTCGTGGTCGCCGTGAGTCCTGAAACTACCTGCAGACGTGCGGCGTTGCATTCGGCGCTGCCGGTCTGGCGTCGGTTCAAGGGAGCTAAGGTCCGTGTGATTAAGTTATGTTGGAGTTGGAGAGTGTTTGTTTCATGTGCTCACCTGCTCCGGCTTGCAAAGCCAAAAACGCAAAGACGAGACCGAGGTTGAGTGAAATCTTGGCCATGGTGGGGAACGGAACGACAAGAAGGCGAAGGAACAATGAAGGCGACCAGCGAGTGAGAGATGGAACAAATGACACCAGGTCAAGGAAGAAACGGTAACGAAAGAGTGGGGTGGTGACTGAGAAGGGCGTCTGCTGAGGTTTTATAGGGAGGTCGATGATTACACATCATGAGACCAGAGCTGAGATGGTTTTTCCATTTTTCTGTCTCGTTATGGAGTACTGGATGCATGGCGAGGTTCTACGGCTGAAAGTTACTGGCACATAACCATGGTGATCCGGGATCCCCACATCGGCCTCGAAGTTCCGGCTCACGAACGATAGGACCCGTTGTCTTCAAAGATAGGTGTACCATCAAGGATGCAACCTGTGCTGCA